TGCTGCCACCCAAGGACAGCTGCGGACCCTGAGCCGCTTTATTCCCAGGCGTGCAAGAGGCGCCATCTGAGGACACTGCTGGCCAGAACGATAAACAGTCCCAAGAGGCATCACTGAAAATGAATAAGTGAATGAATAATTACAATTCGAAAGGACTCTTGAAGGTGTTGGCCTGTGCGTAGCTCCGTTTCTGTTTTACATGAAATGTGTGATTCTTTACTCATTTTCTTTTCATTCATCCAGATCATGTGATATGAAATTTGGGGAGATGCATTTCTACTTTAAAATTATCACTAAATTCTTAGGTGTGGTCAGCAACATTTTTTAATGAAGTATAGTTGATTTATAATGTTTCAGGTACGTAACAAAGTGATTAAGTTCTCTGTCACTCTTTACACACACACACATACACACACACACACACACATATATTCAATACATACACTCTTTTCCATTATACGTTATTATAAGATTGAATATATTCCCTTGCACTATAGAGGGTCCTGGCCATTTATCTATTTTATATAAATATACATATATATATATTAGTGTATATATGCTAATCCCAAATTCCCAATTTATCCCTCCCCTCTCTTTCCCCTTTGGGACCCATAAGTTTATTTTCTATGTTTGTGACTTTATTTCTGGAAATAAGACAACTTTATCACTTTTTAAAGATTCCACATGTAAGCGGTATCATATGATACTTGTCTTTCTCTGTCTGATTTACTTCACTTAGTGTAACACTCTGGTTCCATCCACGTTGCTGCAAAGGGCACTGTTCCATCCATTCTCGCGGCTGAGGAATACTGCACTGTATGTATGTACCACATCTTTATCCGCTGATCTGTGAGTGGGCACTTGGGTTGCTTCCATTCTTGGCTATTGTGAACAGCGCTGCTATGAACACTCGGGTGCATGTATCTTTTCAAATTAGAGTTTTCATCTTTTCTGGATATATGCCCAGGAGTAGGATTGCAGGATCATATGGCAACTCTATTTTTGGTTTCTTAAGGAACCTTCATACTGTTTGCCACAGGGGCTGTACCAATTTACATTCCCGCCAACAGTGTAGGTGGGTTCCCTTTTCTTCACACCCTCTCCAGCATTTATTGTTTGTGGATATTTTTTTTCATGATGGCCATCCTGACTGGTATAAGGTGATGCCTCACTGTGTTTTTATTTGTGTTTCTCTAATAATTAGCAGTGTGGAGCTTTTCAGGCTGGCCATCCAGTCAGCAAAACTTTAATGTTTACTTTTAGGAGCATCAAATATGCATTTAAAACATGCACTTGTATGCTGACTTTAAACTGTAAGAACTGATATCTGTAACTTCAGATTTTAAAAAATATGAACATATAAAGGCTTTAAGAAAACTACTGAGAAATTGAAACAAAATTTCAGGAAAACAATAAAAATGGACTCATGAATTTTCTTCTGCATCTGATTTATCATATATTAGTTCTACATTCTGCTTAATTTTCACTGTGGATTTAGAGATTTGGGGGTTTTGTTTCTGTTTTAAAATTTAAGCTTCACTCAAAAACATATTTCTGTAGCACAATAATTTAACCTTTCTAAAGAGCATCATTTAGAAGAAATCTAAGCCTGTTTAAATTATGAGGGAATTTGGAAAAACAGCATTGTCTGTGTGTCTGTGTAATGGAAACAATAATAATGCGATGAATTCTTGTTTCCTTGGAAACAGTGTGACCAAAGCACACTGTGTATGCATAGTAGGATGTGGACTAATTTAGAAACACACCACATGGCGCTACGTATACATTCCAGTAAGAAATTCAAGGTCAGGTTGCCTGTGAAAGCCTGATTTTATTCACACATCCTGGTTTCTCTGACCAACTTTATGTGCCACTGAAAGGAATGGAGCCATTTACAGTCGTTTAACTACTTTCACTCATTCATGAACATCCAGGGACCTATTCTGACCACTGGAAGGCCATGGGCACCGCACCCCTCCAGGGAGCTGCCGCACCCCTGAGAGAGGTTTGGGTCAGTGACGCACTAACAGCACCCACCAGAAAGAACAAGGAAATCTCATGAGCCTGAGAATAAGTGAATTTAGTAAGAAGCATTTAAAAGTAAAGAAATATAGGAACAAGCCCAGTATGTCCATCGGTGGAGGTACATTTTTGAAGACTTGAAGTGATGCAAGAGGTAAAAGATAAAGACAAAAATTTTATAAGACACAACATTGTGCTTTCACTAAAAGTGTTTATAATTGCAATGACATATGGTTTTTATTAATAAAATAAGTGGAAAAGACATCTAATTGCAAAGTTTGTAACTGGAAATATGTAAGAGTGAGATGAGGGGGCTTGAGGAAGAAACTGATTGGTGCCCTCTTTCTGGGTTCAGACCACAAGCCCATCCAGGTGTGACCCATACCATGTCTCTTACAATCACACAGTGGAATTGACAAACAGATTCAAGGGATTAGATCTGATAGACAGAGTGCCTGAAGAAATATGGTTGAGGTTTGTGACATTGTACAGGAGGCAGTGATCAAGAAAATTCCCAAGAAAAAGAAACGCAAAGAGGCAAAATGGTTGTCTGAGGAGGCCTTAAAAGAGCTGAGAAAAGAAGAGACGCTAACGCAAAGGAGAGAAGGAAAGATATTCCCATTTGAATGCAGAGTTCCAAAGAATAGCAAGGAGAGATAAGAAGGCCTTCCTCAGTGATCAATGCAAAGAAATAGTAGAAAACAATACAATGGGAAAGACTAGAGATCTCTTCAAGAAAATTAAAGACACCAAGGGAACATTTCATTCAAAGATGGGCACAATAAAGGACAGAAATGGTATGCACTTAACAGAAGCTGAAGATATTAAGAGGAGGTGGCAAGAATACACAGAAGAACTATACAAAAAAGATCTTAATGACCAAGATAATCATGATGGTGTGATCACTCACCCAGAGCCAGACATCCTGGAATGTGAAGTCAAGTGGGCCTTAGGAAGCATCACTACAAACAAAGCTAGTGGAGGCGATGGAATTCCAGTTAGGTTATTTCAAATCCTGAAAGATGATGCTGTGAAAGTGCTGCACTCAATATGCCAGCACATTTGGAAAACTCAGCAGTGGCCACAGGACTGGAAAAGGTCAGTTTTCATTCCAATCCCAAAGAAAGGCAATGCCAAAGAATGTTCAAATTACTGCACAGTTGCACTCATCTCACATGCTAGCAAAGTAATGCTCAAAATTCTCCAAGTGAGGCTTCAACAGAATATGAATGGAGAACTTCCAGATATTTGATCTGGACTTAGAAAAGGCAGAGGAACCAGAGATCAAAACACCAACATCCATTGGATCACTGAAAAAGCAAGAGGGTTCCAGAGAAACATCTACTGCTTCACTGACTATGCTAAAGCCTTTGACTATGTGGATCACAACAAACTGTGGAAAATTCTTCAAGAGATGGGAATACCAGACCACCTGACCTGCCTCCTCAGAAATCTGTATGCAGGTCAAGAAGCAACAGTTAGAACTGGACATAGAACAACAGACTGGTTCCAAATAGGAAAAGGAGTACGTCAAGGCTGTATATTGTCATCCTGCTTATTTAACTTATATGCAGAGTACATCATGAGAAATGCTAGGCTGGATGAAGCACAAGCTGGAATCAAGATTGACAGGAGAAATATCAATAACCTCAGATATGCAGATGACATCACTCTTATGGCAGAAAGTGAAGAACTAAAGAGTCTCTTGATGAAAGTGAGATAAAAAAAGAGTGAAAAGGCTGGCTTAAAACTCAGCATTCAGAAAACTAAGATCATGGCATCCGGTGCCATCACTTCATGGCAAGTAGAAGGGGAAATAATGGAAATAGTGAGAGACTTTTATTTTGGGGGGCTCCTAAATCACTGTGAATGTTGACTGCAGCCATGACATTAAAAGATGCTTGCTCCTTGGAAGAAAAGCTATGACCAACCTAGACAGAATATTAAAAAGCAGAGATATCACTTTGCTGACAAAAGTCCATCTAGTTAAGGCTATGGTTTTTACAGTAGTCATGTATGGACATGAGAGTTGGACTATAAGGAAGGCTGAGTGCCAGTGAATTGATGCTTTAGAACTGTGGTGTTGGAGAAGACTCTTGAGAGTCCCTTGGACTGCAAGGAGATCAAACCAGTCCATCCTAAAGGAAATCAGTCCTGGGTGTTCATTGGAAGGACTGATGCTGAAGCTGAAACCCCAATACTCTGGCCACCTGATGCGAAGAACTGACTCACTGAAAAAGACGCTGATGCTGAGAAAGATTGAAGGCAGGTGGAGAAGGGGATGACAGAGGGTCAGATGGTTGAAAGGCATCACCAACTCTACTGACATGAGTTTTACCACGCTCTGGGTGTTGGTGATGGACAGGGAAGCCTGTTATGCTGCAGTCTATGGGGTCACAAAGAGCTTGACACGACTGAGTGACTGAACTGAACTTCTGGGTTCAGAGCCTATGGGTCTAGAGAAGCTCCCAGCTTGGCCACTGTTGCCCAGGGCTCCCTGCCTGGCATTTTGCAGAACACAGCCAGCAAGGCCTGGCCAGGGTAGTTTCATGAGAGCCCTGGGACAGCACACAGCTCCTGCCCTGTACTAGAGACCTTGAACCAGGATAGATGAGAGAGAGAGCTGTCCACACCATGTGAAGAACAGTGCCATGCTGGCTATCACATCTGTAATTTGACCACTGAAGAAAAATTGCAACCTTCTGGAAAATGTTTTTGCCTGTCAAGTTTGGGCCCCACATGCCAGAATTTCATTCATTCTGATATCTTTTGTTTTCTTTTCATATTTGGAAACTGGTAAGTTTTTGGCTTCTCCAACTTTTGCACCAATTTTTTGCTTTTAACTCAGTGACTTACAGAGGCCACATTTTAGGCTACGGTCAACAAGCCCACATCACTCCTACCTAAAGGCCATGATGCTGAGGGGCTGGAAGTCTGGGAAAGGCAGGGGATGAGCAGGGCTAGGTGGGGTAGCCTACCCGGTTGCTGTCACTCTTCGAGCGGTCATTCTTTGCCTTGGCGTTCTTTTCCGCAAGCTTCTTCTGCCTTTGAGGGCCTCGTCCAAAGAAAATGTAGTTGACGAAGGCATACTCCAGCAGGGCCAGAAACACAAAGACAAAGCAGCCCATGAGGTACATGTCAATGGCTTTGACATAGGGGATTTTGGGCAACGTCTCCCGAAGGTGCGTGTTGATGGTTGTCATGGTCAGCACGGTGGTGATCCCTGTAAGACAGACGGGAGCATGAGAGGCTGAAGTCCACTGCTCAGTTCCTCACTCCTCACTCTCCTGCTTTACTTTCTCAAACAGCTTGAAGGAGTTGGAAACAAGTGATTGCATACTGTTGGGTGATCTAAGCGCAACAGAATACAGAGCACATGGTTTGGGCAGCAGGTCACTCCTCAGGCTAGGGAGCTGAGACCTCTTCGCCCACCACACTTGGGAGGCACCTCCCATCCCACCTAACCCACAGTTGGATGGAGAAGTGTGGGGGCAAAGCAGAGGCTGCCCTGCAGGAAAGCTGGGAGAAATTAAAACAAACCCAGAATTTATCATAAAACACTAAGTGTCTGGATGAGAAGCTTCAAGGAAGAAGGATGAATCTGTGGAGAATCTAAGACAGTTATACATGGCCACTTATGAAGAAAATGATTCTTACCATAAGGCCTTAGAGCAAGGGGAAGGAAGTGAAAGTGAAGTCGCTCAGTCGTGTCCGACTCTTTGCGACCCCATGAACTGTAGCCTGCTACGCTCCTCCGTCCATGGGATTCTCCAGGCAAGAATACTGGAGTGGGTTGCCATTTCTTTCTCCACAAAGGGAAGGAGGCAATGACTTAAAGCTACTAAGGACAGGATCTAGCCCTGAGTGCAAAGACAGGGAATGTTTGAGTGAAGTTCTGGAGAACAGATTACTTCACAGAGCAACTTCCCCCCTCAGCTAAGAACAAGGTTACAAAGCTGCCTCAGGACATGGTGGTTTCAGGCAAAAGCTGATGATTTTATTCAAAGTATAGCATCTTACCATGCTCTGGGCCGAGTGATCTGATCTCTTTTTTTGTCAATGTCATTGTTTTCAATTCTTTAGTTAGTATGAATAATGTTAGGTGAATAATGAATGAATTTTTCCCCTAAGGGAGCTATGTTTAGTCTCATAAAACATGTAAGGACCATATTTTGTAATTCTCCCATAGCAATGGGCATGTTCTTGGTGTACAAAGATTCCATACAGGATGATCTGAAGCCACAGAGAGCAGGAGACTCATTGGCCCATGACACGACCAGGGTTCACTGAGTGAAGCCACATATGAGGGAAGGAACTGCACCACTCACTTCTCAGTGACGGGCGTTACTGCTGCTGACTTGCTCTCTCTGAGATAGTAGCTTCTGAAATATTAAGAAGTCTCAAAAAAGCAAGGCAGTTCCAAAGAGCCAGTTCTTTTCTATCCACGAGACTGATGCTACAGCATGTGACTCCTCATGTGTCTTCTGGGACCCAAGAGGGTCGTGGCTACGTGAGGACTCCTCTCAAGAAGGAGACCTTCCAGGTGAGAACTTCAGCCATGGTCCTTCAGCTGTAGTCACCCAGAAAACCAGTGATGTTCCCCAGGCCGGCAGGCGGTGTAAGCCTGAGAGGCCGGACACATGGGCTCACTAGACCTCTTCTCTGAGTCCCCTGGAGCCCCACTCAACTCCCGGAGTTAGGAGCTAGGTTTGTTAAGCATCTTCATCTGATGCCCTCCAGACTCCCATCCCACCCTTGGTGGAGCACCAGAGCCCAGGGCTCCCCTTGCTCGGGACCTCCTGGAGAAGCGAGTCCAGACTTCTGTCCTCACATGCTGAGCTGCCGGTAGGAGGAGATGAGGGAACCAAGGAGCAGAGGACCTATGTTCATGTCTGACTACAAACCAGGGCTGCCAAAGAATGTGTGGAAATCAAAGGTGTCAGAATATTTTAAGACTCTTCTTTAACATAAAATTCACGTGCACCTGGGAACTTCAAAATTTTGAAAATGGCAATGGTATAAGTACAGTTTACAAAGAAGTGCAAAACCCCACGTACATGCTACAAAATCAGGTGTTCTCACTATTATCCAAAATTTTGTAATGCTGCTTCCATAACTTATGTTTTCCTTCCAAATGGACTTTGGAAAGTGCTCTGCTTAGTCATTGCTTTGGCTCTCCAGATGACTGCTCTAAGTGGACATGTATCAACACAGGCCTCAGTAGATGAACCCAGAAAGTGGGCTCAAGGAACAGAGCACAGGCACGGCCAGCACGTGTCAAGAGCACTCAGCCTGGCAAAGCTGGTCTGAGGAAAGTGGGCAAGGACCCCGTAAGAGGAAGGTTTCGTGGTGAGTGCCCCCGGCTCTCCACTTTGGGCTCACATGACCTCCTAGACTGAAAGGCTATTCAGTCTCTAATTCCTTGTACTGTTTTCCTTCCCATCAAGATAACTGTGGACAGTGAGATGCAGTGGTTCACAGCCTGAGTAATAGAACCACATGCTCCTGGGCTGAAAGCCCAGCTCCATCATGTCCCAGCTACGACTTGAGTGAGCTTGATGGGTCCACAATTGTTGTCTAAAGCTGCTGTGAAGTGTAAACACCATGGTGATAGACTACCAGTAACTGGTATTGTTAACACTCACAACAGGAAATGTTATCATTATTAGCATCACAGAAAAATATATTTTCCGGTAGCCTCCAGTTTCTTGGCAGGAGACCCAATTCCTGGCAGCCTCACGCTGAACTTTCACTCTCTAAGCGAATTCTGTTCAATAGCAGAATGGGAGGTAGCCGAGTGGTGCTTTCTCTGTTCTTCATACATTTACCAAGATGTTAAGTCTTGTTAATTATTAGTCTCGAATTATTTCTCATTAATAGTATGTTAATAAAATATTATATTTGAAAACCACATTTATAAAGATGATTGTGAAATAAAAATGTAATTTATATCATTTGATCTAAAGATATATAATTTTTCTCCTTTGTGACCCAAATCATGTGGCCTAAATTATTTTAATATAAATTTTCACTTCCAGAAAGACCAGTAGTTTTAAGGAAGACCATGTAATTACAACACCCAACTTTGTAGTCTGGTGGCTTCTAGCACTAACAGATTAATGGATGTGGGTGCCAGCACTCAGCAACAGAGGCATAAGATCCCAAAGCACAAGAACATCTGTGCAGCACAGCTGGGTGAAGAATCAGCATTTCACTTCAAGTAGAGAGACAATCCTTGATGACTCCAGATTCAATAGTGCCCTGAGCCAGAGGGGTGTGTCAAGGAAGTTTTCACTGAGCATGGCTCCATGCAGACCTGCACCTCTCAGACCCCATTTAGAAGCAGGAAGCACTCACCACCATGCAGCCACTCAGGATGAAGGCAAACAGCACTCTAAGCATTTCAAAGGATGTAGTACATGACAGGACATGTGGAGTGGGCAGGTTTGTATTGTTCTCCAATAAAAGCCCCCAAACCATGGTCCTAGCCTCTCCAAGAGGCACTAAGGACATTATCATCTTAAAGGTTTTGAGAGATGCCTCAATAAGAATGATTTAAAATAATTCTTGCTGAGTTTTTAAAAACATCCATCATTTTTACAATGGCCATTTTACAATAGGCCAAAAAACTCTTCTGTACACTGTCTATTGATGATGTAGAAATCACCTGTAGTGGTTAAGAGCTTTGGAGTCAGACCAGCTGGTTTAAACTCTTTCTTGTGACACTCAGTATTATATGACTTTGCACCAGTTGATTAGCTTTTCTGGATTTCACGCCCTTCTTTGTAAAATGCGAACACCGCCCACTGGGCTGTGTATCTTCTGTTTCATGGGTCAGGTAACCATTTTCATGGGCTTGCACAGAACTTGGCACCTGAGTATTTGATAAGTTGCAGCATGATTACTGTTCTTGGTGTTATTCAGAGTTCATAACCTGATGATACACTTTTTCTCTTAGCCAAATAGAGTTTCTGTGCTGTGATTTTCCACGTCCTGCAGACCCAGGCTCAAAGACTGTCTCATGCAGGAGCTGGGACAGAGGAGAGAGAGGCCGGAGTCCCATGCTCAGAGCTGGACCTGTCAGATGTCTACTGGGCCAGACGCTGAAGCCTGGAGACCACAGCTGCCTTCTGGACCTCTAAACTCAGGCCCACCTGACACTAACAAATGCCTTCAATTCTGCCTTTCATGCCTGGCTCCTGGACTTCTGATATTCACCAGGACCCAGCACATCTCCAGGCATAATACCTTAGCAAATCTGGGCAAACCACTCCTCTGTCCCTCAAACCCACAGAAGCATGATTGAAGTTTATAGCAACAAGGCCGGGTTGTCAAGAAAAAGTGGAATCTACTTTCATACACTGTAATGAGGCTATGTCCACTCTAACCCACTCCAGGTAGACTATTTATTTAGTGCTGTGGAAGATATTTACCATTTAGGAGCTATAGAATTTGTTATCATCTGGAAAATTGAGAGGGCTTCCCAGATGGCGCTAGTGGTAAAGAACCCACCCACCAATGCAGAAGAGGTAAGAGACTGAGGTTCGATCCCTGGGTGGCAAAGATCCTCTGGATTAGAACATGGCAACCTATTCCAGTATTCTTGTCTGGAGAATCTCATGGATAGGGGACTCTGGAGGGCTACAGTCCAGGTGGTCACAAAGAGTCAGGCACAACTGCAACAACTAACATACATACACATAGAAAACTGAGGAATTTGCATTTTCAGTACACCTCACTTCTGATGATGCCTGATAATTCTGGTTCTTCGGTACTCATATCTCTCTGATTTTCTCAAAAAATGATGGATTTTCTGAGGCAGAGTCCCTGGAAGCTCAGGAAGCCGCAGCTTCTGATCTCCTCTAGCACAGGATTCTTACAGGCTCAGGAGGGGTTCTGGGAACTCTGTATATTTTACATTCTTTTTCTTAAAGAGAGCTTCCTAAATTTAATAAGCTAACAGCTCCCCAAATTTGGATCTGCCCCTGCAAATTCACTTTAGCTGTAAATTCTTCAGGTGATAAGAGAAATTAGCTTAACAAAGAGCGATCTAGTAACTTTAGCAAAAAAGGCAAAAGCTACAGAAAGGACATGACTGAGTGACTTGCCTTTCACAGAAAGGACTGATGTTACAGGGTAACCTCTGCAGGCAGTAAAAAAATCCTGAAGATATTTTCAGGAGATTTTTCCCTTACCAGTGTGCATGTGCATGCTCAGTCATGTCTGATTCTTTGTGACCCCACGGACTGTAGCCTGCCAGGCTACTCTGTCCACGGGATTTTTCTCGGCAAGAATATTGGCGTGGATAGCCATTCCCTTTTCCAGGGGATCTTCCTGACCCAGGGACTGAACCCACATCTTCTGCATTGTAGGCTGATTCTTTACTGCTGAGCCACTAGGGAATCCATTCCAAACCCATCAGAAATATATTAACAGTTACTACAAAACTTTTAATTTTTTGATACTTTATTCTTCTGTAAGTGTCTTTACATTCACCTAACACTTTAGAATTAGTTACCTAAGTTTCTTAAGCTGCATTTCCTAAGTTTCATTAGGAAAAAAATCTAATCCTGAATCAATGTGAGTCACTTGTCTGTGGGTCTAAGCCAGATATCCACTTATGTACATGTACACACATTCCCTTGGAAGCAAGATGCTAAGCAACTTAAATTTCTGGGAAGAGACAGTAAAAAGAAAAAGTAAGAAAGAGGGACAACCAGATCCCTGAATACTTATGCTTTTATGCAGGCTTACAAGCAGAATTGTTTTAATTCTTTTCTTCAATTTTGAAAGGTATTATTAACTATTTCACTCCCAGGAATTAAACTCAACCCTACCCATATAAGGTATAAATTGGACAACTGCTCTTCAGCTTCATTCTTACCTAAAATGTATTTAAATGAATATTTGGTCCACGTAGTTTCATAATAATTAGTTCAGTAGAAAATAATGTTTCTGAAAATATAAGCCTTGTCTTAATAATAAAAAAAAAAATAGAAATCATAGTGGAACACATAATATATACTGTACATCAGCTAATAATGCAACTGTTAAGAGACCAATGGCCAGAAGAGATCACTACAGCTCTTGAGAACAGCTCAGAATTTAGTATCATATTTTAATGCTCATCAATTTGTGTAATTCCAATGATATGGTATAACATTTGGCTATTTTTCTGACTTAAAAAAGAATGTGCAATTAATCAAGTCTCTTCTCTGGGCCATAGGCTGATTTTGAACAGGAGATGTTAATCCTTGCTTTAAAATTAGTGTCAAAAACAGCTTTATTATGCAAATATTCGGCAAGCATATTTTCCCTTTCATGGGCATGAAAATTCACATTTGAGCCTTATAATTAAATTAACACATCAAGGGAATCATGCATGAAATTAGTATTTCAAGATAAAAAGTGACTATATGGGCAAGACTGGTGTCGTGATGTCAAAAATTGTAGTTGAACTATAGTCTTGAACTCCCTTCATATTGTAATGATATGGTGACTTTATATTTTAGGTATCATTTAAAAATAGCACATACCAAGGGCAACTCTAGCCGCAGATGCATCATAATTGATCCAGAAGGACACCCATGAGAGAATTGTAATTAGGATAGAGGGCATGTAGGTCTGGAGAATGAAGTATCCAATGTTTCTCTTCAACCGAAAGCTCAGTGAGAGCCGAGGGTAGGCACCTACGGTAAACAGACAGGGATTACACTGGAGATCAGACACAGCAGACAGAGAGTTTGCTTTGACTTCCACGGGTCAACAGCATGCATTTGAAAAGCCCAGAATGGAGGGGTGGTCCACAACCATGCAACCTGCCTCCACCACCTAAGTTCCATTGAGAAATTGGGAGATGAATGATTTTCAGTCTACATATGAGGTCATGATGAGGCTACTCTTCTCTTATATACTGAGCTGAAAACTGTCACTGAGAAAACTCTGGGAAAGTTTTTAGCTTAGAATTTGGAATAGTGACAACTATCTTATTTATTTTTCAACTAATAATCTCCTCCTCCACTGTAAATAGGGGAGATTTGGCTCAAGGCTTTACTGGGCAAAATGGTTTCTATCAGTCCTCCTCTGTCAGCCCATCTAGAGCAACAGTGCAGATGTCTGAGGCACTGACCCTGGATCCCCTGGAACAGCTCAGGGACCCCCTCCCCAAGAGAGTGAGAGGCACAGAGGGTAGCAGCATATGTGAGATGCTCTGCTCCAACCACAGGAAAGGCATCAAAGAGGGCTGAGAAGAAGCATCCGGTCTGCTTTCCTGTACTGAGTCCAGGGTTAACCTCCTACTGTGTACATTCCACTCAGACAGTCGTGAACCCCACCACCACCGCCAATGCAGAGTGAGGAAACAGCCCACTGCTATGCCACCTGCACATTTACCTTTTCTGTCTGATTTTGGTTCTTCATTGGGGAGCAGGCATGTATGGCCTCCCTTTCTTCCTGACCATTTCAAAAATCGACTTTACCAGTTTCAAGCCACTCAGCTCCTAATTTTCTGGACTCAGCTGAGGCTTCTGGAAGGCCAGCCTTCCCCTACTCATCAGATTCCTGGCCTCCTCCCCTCCCGCCTTCACTGATGGGTGGTGCTCTCTTCCTGAGATTCACCCACCCAGAGTTTCAGGAGACCTCGCTTTTCTTGCTGTACTGCTCTAAGTATGACAGGCTCACGTTCCCCTCCTGCCTCCAAATATGTGCATTTTCCTGACTTCACACCCCTTTCTGGTTTTGTCACTACAGTCGATCCCTTTTCCAGTCTGGTTTACTCATATGACTATTTCTTCTATGTAGTAAATGAAAGACTTTAATTTCCAGGCTTCTACTTTAGCATTAACCACATATTCAGCCAAAAGTATATAAAGGAGAAAAGAAAGAGCCTAATATACACATTTAAAAGCTGACAATCTGGAAATTGTCTCCAATCTCTCACGTGCTTGTGTGTGTGTATAGTTTATTTTATATAACTCTGATCAAATGCATATATTGTATTGTCACCAAAACATAAACATTTTCATCCTTATTACAAATTACTTACATATACAATTTAAAAATTTTCCTGATTTTCCATCAAATATATACACATATATTCTATAGTTTATAAATACATTTTCCTGAATGTGATAAATTTAGGGTATTTCCATTGTTGCAGAATTTTAAGTAATATTCTTAGGAATACCTTTGAGTAGAGTTCTTTCATTATATTTAAAATTATTTCCTTAGAATGAATGTGTCAAAAGAGGAATTGTTAGGCCAATGTTGGAGGCTTTTGATACATAGCCCCAAATTACTTTGCCAAAGAACGACAGCAGAGAACATGTCACTATGAGTACTATATAGAAGTGCCTGTCTCATTTTGTAAACAACAGTATTACATGTTATTTAGTCGCTAAGTCATGTCTGACTCTTTCTGACCCCATGGATGGTAACCACCAGGCCCTTCTGTCTATGGGATTTCCCAAGCAAGAGTATTGCAGTAGGTTGCCATTTTCTTCTCCAGGGGATTTTCCCAATTCAGGGATTGAACCCATTTCTTAACTGGTAAGCCACTAGGGAAGCCCCTTAACAATATTACATAATATTTTTTAAAAATCCTTTTGCCAATTTCCTTGGGAAAAATTTGTCAAATCATATTTTTAAATTGACTACTTCTTAATGCTTTTTTTCCCCAGATTTTAATCTTATCAGTTCAGTCAATCAGTCATGTTCAACTCTTTGTGACCTCATGGATTACAGCACACCATGCTTCCCTGTACATCACCAACTCGCGGAGCTTGCTCAAACTCATGTTCATTAAGTCAGTGATGCCATCCAACCATCTCATCCTCTGTCATCCCCATCTCTTCCTGCCTTCAATTTTCCCAGCATCAGGGTCTTTTCTAAAGAGTCAGTTCTTTGCATCAGGTGGCCAAAATATTGGAGCTTCAGCTTCAGCATCAGTCCTTCCAATGAACATTCAGGACCAATTTTCTTTAGGATGGACTGGTTGGATCTCCTTGCAATCCAAGGGATTCTCAAGAGTCTTCTCCAACACCACAGTTCAAAAGCATCAATTCTTCAGTGCGCAGCTTTCTTATATGATCCAACTCTCACATCCATACATGACTACTGGAAAAAACACAGCTTTGACTAGATGAACCTTTGTCAGCAAAGTAATGTCTCTGCTTTTTAAATATGCTGTCTAGGTTGGTCATAGCTTCCAAGGAGCAAGTATCTTTTAATTTCATGGCTGCGGTCACCTGCTGCAGTGATTTTGGAGCCCAAGAAAATAAAGTCTCTCACTGTTTCCATTGTTTCCCCATCTATTTGTCATGAAGTGATGGGACCAGATGCCATGATCTCAGTTTTCTGAATGCTGAGTTTTAAGCCAGCTTTCCCCTCTGGCTTTTTAGTTCTTCTTCACTTTCTGCCATAAGGGTGGTGTCATCTGCATATATGAGGTTACTGATATTTCTCCTGGCAATCTTGATTCCAGCTTGTGCTTCATGCAGCCCAGTGTTTCTCATGATGTACCCTGCATATAAGTTAAATAAGCAGGGTGACAATATACAGCCTGGACATACTCCTTTTCCTATTTGGAACCAGTCTGTTGTTCCATGTCCAGTTCTAACTGTTGCTTCTTGACCTGCATACAGGTTTCTCAGGAGGCAGGTAAGGTGGTCTGGTATTCCCATCTCTTTAAGAATTCCAGTTTGTTGTGATCCACACAGTCAAAGGCTTTGGGGTATTCAGTACAGCAAAAGTACATGTTTTTCTGGAACTTCTTGCTTTCTCAATGATCCAATGGATGTTGGCAATTTGATCTCTGGTTTCTCTGCGTTTTCTAAATCCAGCTTAAACATCTGGAATTTCTCGGTTCACATACTATTGAAGCCTGGCTTGGAGAATTTTGAGCGTTACTTTACTAGTGTGTGAGATGAGTGCAATTGTGCGGTAGTTTGAGCATTCTTTGGCACTGCCTTTCTTTGGGATTGGAATGAAAACTGATTTTTTCCAGTTTACCCTTATAACTATTAACTATTTAACCTTATAAATAATCTAATTATATCATTCATTCATCTTTCTCATTTTTTGTTCCTCTTACTGTTTTTATCTATTCATTCAATTTCTTTTGAGACTAATCCTTGCTTGTATTCTCTGCAAGCATTTTCCCAGTTATTTACAAACTTGTAATAGGGTAGGGTGAGGGACATATAAAAACATACATTTTTGTAGAGTTGTTGTATAGTTTGTATAGTTGTATAGTTGAGTCTATCCATTTTATTTTTTCCCTTTAATTTTTAAAACCTGTTTTTAGGCTTAGATAAGTTCCCAACAGACAACTGACTACAACCCTATTTTGAGGGTTGGTGATTATTTCAGGGTTTGACATGAAGTGAACATGCAGATTGGTTTCTGTTCCACAAACAACTAACCAAGTTTTCCAGCACCATTTGTGAAATAAAGCTTCCACTGACAGATCTGATATACTCTGTTGTTTTATAATATACTCCATGTCTATGTGGCTACAGATAAGATGTACCCGTGGGCCAGGTCAGAGCCTTGCCTGGGCCTTGACACCCCCGGTCCCTGGCACCACGTGCTCGCCACGTTTTTCAAAAGCAGAGTCATCACACGTTCAACATCTTATGCTGCTTCCCATAAAGGTCAAAATAGTCACCTGGGAATTTTAGTTTCTCCAAAATGTTTTCTCAAGTTAACATTAGTTTTATTTTACACCATGCCTCTGTATTAAGCATAACATTTTCTAGCCAAGAAGTATCCTTATTGCCTGAAAATAATTGTCTACATTTCTTGCCTCTGCTGATTTATACCCTTTGCTCTCCCCTTAAGAAATGTCTTTCCTTAACCATACTTCAAGGCCTTGGTCAAATGCCACATCTCCCATAAATCCTTTTTTCCCTCCAAATGCAAGTAATAACCATCTTGAGCTATTTTCTTTCCTCTTTAAAATTATATTGTTAACATTTACCAAGATAAGATCTTCCTTAGTAAGATGAATAAACTCCCACGCAGAGTTTGTGAGACAGTTGTCATATACTGTCATGGTTAGCTAAATGTCTAAAGCATCTTTGGTTATTAACAAATGCTGTGTGCTGAAAGAATGAAAATAGGCATACTTGATTTATTTAATAAGTTTAATACTCAAAACAGTCAGTAATTTTATTAAATCTTGGTTTGAAATCCTATGGCCATCTTCAACATTTATACTGAAGTACCTTCAATATCAGATCTTAATTTGCAATTTCATAGTGATCTCATGCCTTTAGTAACCATTTGCAACTTTATGCTTCAGATATTTCTCACTATATACACTCTACTTGGAACATTAACTGATTCCATCAGGATAGACTGGCTTATGCTGTAGTAGCAAAAGATCCCTTAAATCTCAGTGACTTTACAACAAAGATTTATTTGTTTTTTCTTTCTTGTGCTCCATAGACACTCAGCTTCCTCTCTGGAAGGCAGCTGGGACACTGTGGAAGAAGGGCCACATGTACTTCCCATCACATTTCATTCCCCAGAGCAAGTCTCATTGTCAATCTTTATGTCACCAAGGTAGAAAAGTTAAATCCTCTCCCAGGGAACTGCAGCAAATATTTTTTGAATGACAGTGTAATCTACCATATTCCCCAACTTTCTATGTTCTGAGTCAATTTTCTTAACATTTTCCAAAGTACAT